TTTACCGACCGGCTTGCCTTCGCCGCCGCCGACTGGTGTTTCCGCCTGCACGGCTGGCCTATTATGCCGCCGTTGTTGGGCGTCTACGTCTTCACCGACCGGCTTGCCTTCGCCGCCGCCGACTGGTGTTTCCGCCTGCACGGCTGGCCTTTATGCCGCCGTTGTTGGGCGTCTACGTCTTCACCGACCGGCCGCCTCGACCGCCGCCGACTGGTGTTTCCGCCTGCACGGCTGGCCTATTATGCCGCCGTTGTTGGGCGTCTACGTCTTCACCGACCGGCTTGCCTTCGCCGCCGCCGACTGGTGTTTCCGCCTGCACGGCTGGCCTTTGTGCCGCCGTTGTTGGGCGTCTACGTCTTCACCGACCGGCTGCCTCGTCCGCCGCCGACTGGTGCTTCCGCCTGCACGGCTGACTTATTATGCCGCCGTTGTTGGGCGTCTACGTCTTCACCGGCTGGCTTGCCTTCGCCGCCGCCGACTGGTGTTTCCGCCTGCACGGCTGGCCTTTATGCCGCCGTTGTTGGGCGTCTACGTCTTCCCCGACCGGCTTGCCTTCGCCGCTGCCGATTGGTGCTTCCGCCTGCACAGCTGGCCTATTATGCCGCCGTTGTTGGGCGCCTACGTCTTCACCGACCGGCTCGCCTTCGTCGCCGCCGACTGGTGTCCTCGCCTGCACGGCTGGCCTATTATGCCGCCGTTGTTGGGCGCCTACGTCTTCACCGACCGGCTCGCCTTCGTCGCCGCCGACTGGTGTCCACGCCTGCTCGGCTGGCCTATTATGCCGCCGTTGTTGGGCGCCTACGTCTTCACCGACCGGCTCGCCTTCGTCGCCGCCGACTGGTGTCCTCGCCTGCACGGCTGGCCTATTATGCCGCCGTTGTTGGGCGCCTACGTCTTCACCGACCGGCTCGCCTTCGCCGCCGCCGACTGGTGTCCTCGCCTGCACGGCTGGCCTTTATGCCGCCGTTGTTGGGCGTCTACGTCTTCACCGACCGGCTTGCCTTCGCCGTCGCCGACTGGTGTTTCCGCCTGCACGGCTGGCCTTTATGCCGCCGTTGTTGGGCGTCTACGTCTTCACCGACCGGCTTGCCTTCGCCGCCGCCGACTGGTGTCCTCGCCTGCACGGCTGGCCTTTATGCCGCCGTTGTTGGGCGTCTACGTCTTCACCGACCGGCTTGCCTTCGCCGCCGCCGACTGGTGTTTCCGCTTGCACGGCTGGCCTTTATGCCGCCGTAGTTGGGCGTCTACGTCTTCACTGACTGGCTTGCCTTCGCCGCCGCCGACTGGTGTTTCCGCCTGCACGGCTGGCCTTTATGCCGCCGTTGTTGGGCGTCTACGTCTTCACCGGCTGGCTTGCCTTCGCCGCCGCCGACTGGTGTTTCCGCCTGCACGGCTGGCCTTTATGCCGCCGTTGTTGGGCGTCTACGTCTTCACCGACCGGCCGCCGCATCCGCCGCTGACTGGTGTCACCGCCTGCACGGCTGGCCTGTTATAACGCCAACTCATGCTATCTTCTTCACGGCTGGCTACATCGCTGTCACTACTAATAGGCATCAGTATCTTCAACACAAGCTGCCTACGTTTGCCATGGCTGCCGACTGGTTTCTGCACTTCCATGGCTGCATGATTCTGCCAGTGTTGATTGGCCTTACCATCTTCATCGCCGGTCGTCTCGTCTGCTGTTGACTAGTGCCCTCGCCTCTACATCTGGTTTATACAGCTACCACTACTGATGGACATCATCGTCTTCCGCCGCCGACTCGTGTTATGCCGCCGCCGACTGGTGCTTTTATCTTCACAACTGCGCGTCTTTACTACCGGTTTGCTTCTGTTGCCGCCGACTCGTGTTCACTTCATCACGGCAACACAACTTTGTCATCATGGTGGAGCGACTTCATCTTTATTATCTTCGGTACCAGCAAACTCTATTGCTGCTACTTCACAAGTTTTGCTACATCACCAACCATGACATTGTTGTGAATCTCGACATCTCGGCATGCGATGCCGTGTTATTTTACTACAACAAGTGGCTCTCCAACATTCATGATTTCTACTTGGACATCTTCAACACATATCTTCAATCAAGCAATAACTATTCGACGACGAGAGGCTACAGTTCTCGACTCTATGTTCAGTTGTTTCCCAACTAATCAAAGAGTCGGGGGCTACACAAATACAAGGCTCAAAATTTGACAAATTTTATGTCAAGCTGAAGAAATCAATTCATCAACCCACGAGTCAACTCCAGGAGTCATTATCTTCATCTTTGCTTCGGAGCAGACATTCTACTTCAACAACTTCAAATATTTCGGTTTAGACGAGTTGGGCAACAACATCAACTCTCCTCCAAGTGAAGCATCTACAACAGCCATAACATTAATTTGATGGATTATTGTCACTGACATCATCACCAGCACCTCTGCTTCATCGGCCCTGACATCTCCGCTGTTGCTAATGGATGATTATGTTTTCGCCGACTTATTATTTCACCTTGACGGTTGACCTACTATGCAAATGCTGATGAGCGTCTTTGTCATTATCATTGGTTGCTACACTGCTATTGGCTGAATCACCGACATCGTCATCTTCATCATGTCAGTTGCGTTTGTCGTCGTCAAGTATTTTCTTCATCTTCATGATTGGTGGATTTCGTCATCGCCTTTGATTTGCCTCGTCTGTCACCGACTGATTATTTCGCTGCCATGGCTACACAACTTTATCGCTGGGCGCTTTCATCTTCATTGATGGCTGACCTGACTACTGCCGACTGGTTTCTTCGCCTCCATGGCTGTGCAACTTCATCACTTTTGATTGGTATCACTATCTTCACTACCACCAATATTTTTGCCACCTCTGGTGGGCAATATTCTCTCTATATTGGTTGTCTTGTCTCTATGCCAACTGCGTCAGCTACCATCAATGAACAATTGTGACTACGTGCTCAGGGGCTTACTAGCTCAAATACAAGTATTATATCTTCAATTTGGACTTGCTCCGGATACATGCAACATGAATTCATGATCATGGGTCTATTTTATATGCTCAAAGACTGGACTATTTATTATTCCCCGTAAGGGTTATCAACTGAATACTTGCGCCAGTCGGGATTCAATTGTTACATCTATTTTGGAGTATCCCATAAGGGATAACCACTCAGATCAGAAGCTATTCATATAAGCTACGCTTGGTCTATATTACCCAGAAGATTTATTACTCGGGAGCATGTTATATGCGTCATCCTTTAAAGGGTGTCGAAGGCATATGTTTTGGCCTAGGCCTAATATGTCTGCAGCCCATATTTTCAGGTGTGGCCTGTCACGTTCTTTTAGGGACTTAGGCACTTTTTGCTTAGGCCAAAGTGCGCGTGATCAAGTGCCCAATACCTTAAAATCCTTTTATACCGCAGTTACTTAACTTTTTAGGAGTTGGTACAATGCATCTTAAAAGGTGTCAAACAGTAAAGCTTTATATAGCTGTCCCGCTGACTTTTTTATATATAAGTCAAGGTGCTGTTTGGGTTTTTAAGCAATTGATTGGATACAATATCATTGCTTTTCGCCACGTAAGTGTGCATTTTTATTGACCAATATTATGGCTTAGGCTGATTATATATTGTGGTCATTTTCTAGGCGGTTGGTAAATCCTTTATGAGTTTATTTACTCGGATTTTACACCACATATGCCATATATTTCCAGGTGTGGTGAAACCATGTGTCTTCTAGGGACTTAAGCACATCTATTAAAGCAGTGTGCGCATGGCGTATGCCCAATACTTTGGAAATTTCTTTATTCATAATATACAAGCTTCTTTATAGCTATTTTGCTATATCACTCATCATATTTTACAAAGCAGTTGGTATATCACTCGGATCATGTTATTTGGAGGATTCACACCGCATATGCTATATATTGATATCAAGTCATTTGGTTGATTACGATTATTAAAACCACTCGGTTGGTTGGATTATTTATTCCTTGACTATATGCTTGGTTTGTTCAATTAACCACATTGTCGGGGGCTACACCTATTAGGTGCATCTAGTCGGTGCACCTGACTTTATTTTCCAGCCCTCCACAGTCTTCAGATTTGGTAAAAGTACTCGGGAGACCATGACAAAGATGATTGAAGCACTCGGCTTTGGAGTAATCTGGTTCGAGAGAAGATTATCTTTTCGACTGCGAAGGTCTCAGGGGCTACTGTGGATATTATGGGTACCCCATACCCATACGGCATGGTTATCCGACTAGTCATAGGGGATAACTTATATCTATGAAATATGTAACATATCATGACTTGGGTATTACGTTTCTTTGTATATTATGGAACGGCCTAAAATCCTGGTTTGATAAGATTGTAAAGTAGATTTAGGAAACCGATACCGTATTGGTTAAGGTTTCTATCTTGTAACCCTGCCCCCCAACCTATATAAGGAGGGCAGGGAGCCCCTCTAGGGGCATGAGACAACCTGATCGTCAGATCAATACACACTCGGCGGATTCAAATCCCCAAACAGGAGTAGGGTATTACCTCTCATTGAGAGGGCCTGAACCTGTCTAAATCCTTTGTCTCCACATCCATCCACTTTTAGGTCTCGTGCGCTACCCCGTTTTATTATTGCCGAATTCATGTTTCGACAGGTTTGCTTTGGTGCCCTTTATTAGTGACTATGAGATGGCACGTACATGAGTTTAGACCCTTAGTAGGATGTGAGCGGTAGATAGGTACGTACAGATTTATATCTAGAAATTTTTTTTTTCTAGACGGAAGGTATAGAATGAACTCCCTTAGTAGGATGTGAGCGGTAGGTAAGTACGTACAGATTTATATTTAGAAATTGGTTTTTTTCTGGACAGAAGGTATAGAATGCAGTGGAATACTTATATAAGTATAGATAGAAAGGCGGATTCATTTCAGAAAAGTACCGGAAGAAGCTAATCGTAAGTAATAATAAGATTGTTTACGAAGAAGGAAGAAAAATTCATATTCAGATACATAAGAGTACATAGGAATCGATAGAGTCTTTTATTTTCTTTTTGAAAAATAAAAATGGATTTTATATTCTTCACCTAGATAATTAAGATCCTATCAGGGTTCAAGCCCCAAATTTGGACTAATTTATTTCTCGAGATATCATTATGAAATCTCGAACCCTTGCTGGTGGCCCGGTGATGGGAGTGCCGGTGGTGGTGAGATGGTTCTGCTGCTGCTGCTGGTGGATGTCGTCGTCAAGCTTGATGATCACTGATCTTGACCTCTACACTCTATAGTATCAATTCTAGGCCTGTTCATGTGCTTCTTTCTCGCCTCCTCCCATTCCATGGCCGTCTTCTCGTTGATGTCGAGGGATGATTTAAGGAGCACCACTTGCTCCAGCCGATGGAAGTAATCGATGTGAGCAGCCTGGAATCCGCTGATGTCTTTGCAGAGGAGCTGGAGGGTGGTGAGGTGTTTCATGGCGACGGTTTTGTCTTTGCCGCTGACGACGATTATCACCTTGGGAAGCTTGGGGGCCTGCACGTGGAGACCCCGAAGGCTCCGGAACCCGCGTGCGTCGTTGAGCGTGAGTGTGCCGTCCGTGAAGTTGCTGTTGTCTTCGATGAGCTTCAGGTACTTGAGATTTGGAAGGCACTGCAGGAGCAATAGGGCTTCGCAGCTCAAGCCCGTGTATGAGAGGTATAGCTTGGAGAGAGCGTGGTCTAGCATCGTATGTTCATTTGCGGTGATGAAGGCTGGCAGTTTGCTCAGCTTGCCGCGTAGCTTGACGGACTCGATCTTGCACGGAAGATGGGCATTCACGGGGGCGAAATCCAGGAAGTCGAGGGATTCGTCGCCGAAATCAAGGGACAGAGATTCGAGGGTGAAGCATCGGTTCTCGAGAAACTTGACCAGAAGGTCAGTGTGAGCGGTGGTTGGCTTGGGTTTGGATCCCTTGACGCCCTTCTTGTTCCACCATATCTTAATCTTCTTCAACCGGTCTTGGTGCATGAGACCGAACAAGTTCTGCAGGCGCTGGTGCCCCTCTCTATCGCCCCCACCAATGAAGATGCCGGCGAGAGTGTGTAGCTTGCAGGCCTGGGCAGCAGCGCCACCACTCGCTCTAGCAGCTTTCGGCCACAAGGCTAGGCCACCGCGAGCTGGGCCTGCGATGTCGCGTGGCAGCTCGAAGGCGCCAAAAAGGTACTTGAGGTAAGGCAGACAGAGGACGTTGCAAGGCAGGGTGATGGTGGCCACGTGGTCCTCCTCCGCCTTTGACTTGGAGCCCCGCACCACGATCACGATGTCCCGGACGTCCAGCGTCTCAAGGAAGCGCATCTCCGCTATCTCCGCGGGGAGACCGCAGGCATCGATGGTGGTGCCCCTGAGGCTGAGGTACCTGAGGACCTTGAGCTTGCAGATTCTGCGGAGCACGCCGCCGGTGATGCCGGTGCACCCGTCCAGGTCCAGGACGCGCAGCACCTTGCAGCGTTTCAACTTGAAGTCCGACAGCTCGGTCCCCGCGGCAGTAAGCGACCTGACGTGGGACAGGTCTAAGCCTTCCACCATCTCCGCCAGCTTAGCCTTGTTGCTGTTGCCCCCGCCGGCCCTGTTAGCCTTAGGATCATAGACGATGGCTAGCCGGCGGGGGCCGAGGTTATTGTCGCCGCTGGTGGTCTGCAGGTGTTCCCCGTTCTGGATTAGCCTGGCGAACTTGCTGGAGACCGACTTGTTGTGAAGGAAATCGAGCAGGACACCTTGGACCCGGCACTTGTTCTTGACTGCCCCCGGCACCACTGCTGGCGCTGGGTCCTCCTCGTCGTCCGCACGCTGAATCATGATCCGGTCCACCAGCTTCTCGAAATTCTTATCGGCAACCGTGCTCGCGTGTTCCTGGCCGTCGAAGGGGACGGGGACCAGCTGTTCCGCCATCCACCGCCGCACCAAGCTCTTCCTCCTGATGCTGTAGTTCTTGGGGAACATGCTCACCGACAGCAGGCACGTCTTGAGGTCGTGGCTGTACAGACCTTCGTAGCACTCCTTCAGCGTCGCGTGCGCCGCCTTGAAGGCCGCGTTATGCAGCCGGCCTGCGAGGTTGTTTCCCAGGTCACGAACGATGGCGCTGCATCTCAGCTCCCCCCGTCTCAGATCCTCCAGCTTGAGCCGCACGTACTCCGCCACGCCAGTGAGCGCAAGCGGCAAACCGTCGCACTTTCGCACGATGTCAACCGAGTGGGACTGCACGTCCTGAGGAAGCTCGTTTCGATCGCAGCCGACCAGCTGCCAGAGCAGTTTATCGGAGTCGACCTCGTTGAGTCCTTCCAGCCTGTACATGAAACCGCCCAAGCTGCACTTCTTGGCCACGGATTGCACGCTCGTCGTCACGATTATTCGGCTGCTGCTCTCCTTGGGGAAGGCGCCTTCGATCTCCGCCCAGACTTCGTCTTTCCGCACATCATCAATCACAATCAGATACCTAGTACTCCCTCCGTCCCAAAATATAAGCATTTTTAGCATAATAACAAGTCAAACATTTTCAACTTTAACTATTAATAACAAGAAAATAAAAAAGATCAATCATCTAAAATTGATGTTACCAATAGATTTATCATTAAACAAACTATCATAATATGTAACTCTTTTTATTTAAAACATCTTGCTTTTATAGATATTGTTGATCAAAGTAGCATCTCAGAGACTGTGTCAGAGTCTAAAAATCCTTACATTTTGGGATGGAACGAGTAATTTAAAACATGTAGAGAACATATTAGGTCTATCTATATGTTAGATAACTGATTTTTATTCCCCTATCAATCACCTCCTAGTAACTTAAAAACATGTAGGCAGCATATTAATTAGATCTATCTATTCGTTAGATAACTCGTTTTGTCGCATCTATATCAATCACCTTTTTAAGTCGTTAGATTAGCATCAGACAACTCATAAGCCTACTAGCTCTTTTCTTAAATCCTCTTGGAGAACAAAGAGTACTCTAACATGCATATAAAACAAAAAATAAATAAATATTGCGATCCTTATCAATACAAAACAAAAATTATGACCCTGTGAGCATAATAACCTAATTTTCTAGATTAACACAGATCAATATGACGTACGTACGTTCGTTCGTTGTACATATCTATCTAGCTAATTAAGTGACAAAGGGAAACCATAAAAAGAGGTGACTAATAGGTAATTATTAAATGGCAAAATCGATATTAATGTTTCTCATGATTTTTGGTTTGGTCCAGCTACGAGGATGCAATAGAATAGAACTGCATGCATGTTAGCTACAGCAGAAGGTACTGATGATAAATAGTTTTCGATCATACCTCTTGTCCTCGAGGAATTTGCAGATAGTTTCGCGCAATGTCATGATATCGGTGTTGTCGTTGATATCGGCCGACGCACAATGAAGTTGATAGACAGTTTCCTTGAGGAGTCTGGCTGCATCGTCTTTGCTCTCCGCTGCTAGTGGCGCCGACCACGCCACCCGCACGAAGGCCTTGCAGTCGAACGGCTCGCCATCGGAACCGTCGTCGTGGCAGTACACTTCATTAGCGAGGGTGGTCTTCCCGACGCCGCGGAACCCCACGATGGAGATCACCCTCAGCTGCTTCGGTTGGCCATCGACATGCTGAAGCAGGTCAATAAGATCATCCTTGTGGTGCTGGATGCCCACTGGGGCAAGCCTGCAGCCCAAGGGAACTCTGGGACCGGCAGTTTCGTCCGGCTTCGTCGTCGCCGGTGTATCCTCTCCGCTTTGATCTCTGAACTGATCCCATAGCTCCAGCAGTATTTTCAGCCTTTCATCTAACTCCTGGATCAGGAGGATGTGCTGAGGTCGGGGATCCATCAAGCCCACCGTGCGCAGAGCACGTTTGGGAAACGAGACTTTAGTCTTGGGACCCATCAGATCTAGGGCATCCTCCATGTCGTACAGCAATTCTTGGAGCTGCATGACCCATTTCTCACCAAAGGCCTCGGCTTTGCTCCTTGATGAACTGCTGATAAAGACATTCATCATATTCATAACCAAACTAATGGACTTGATCTTATTCTCCATCTTGTTTCTCAGCTCATACTCGGTTTTGATCAGATCAAAGATCTTCACGCTGGCAGACTCAACGGCACGGAAAATATCCATTGCCCAACCTCCCCAGCCGACTGTTCACTAATTCACTCGAAACTATCTGGGGCCTGGGGCTGGGGCTGGGGCTAGTTAGCTTGCTCCCTGTATTCCCCTTGATGGAGACACTGAGTTTTATAACGTACTAGCTGGTGATTGTGTGGCCATGCATGATATATTTTAATTATTGAAATCTACACCTACCCCAAGCGTGTAAAATATTATTAATCGATAGTGTGGAGATTATGGATATCCCATATCTACACGGCGATGATATTTGGACTGAATATAGGATACCGAATATAGATAGAATATCTTATGTGTATCTCGGGTTTGTTTCTTAACTTGTACGTCAAGGAAATACCTTGAGATCTAGTCGGTCACGACTGTATTTTATCTGTATCTGCATATTCCGTTAGGGATATAGATTATCTTTTGTAACACGGACTCCTTCCCATATATAAGGGGGGTCCGGGTGCCTCTAGGGGCATATGTTGATTTTCTCCAAATCATACAATCAATAATACACTCGGCGGATTCATCCCCGGACAGGAGTAGGGTATTACTTCTTTTATAAGAAGGCCTGAACCTGTATAAATCTTTTGTCTCCAAACCCATACACTTTTCCAGCTTGATAGCCACCCCCTTTTATTATTGCCGAAATCTAGTTTCGACAGTTGGCGCGCCAGGTAGGGGTTGCGTCAAGCTTTTCGCCGATCAGTGCAATGGGTTCCGTCTCCGGCATCGACGACCTCGTCTTCCCTCCCGGGCAGACGTTTCGGTTCGGCAGCCTCGACTTCGTCACCAACAACTTCGGCAAGATCTCTCTCCTTGACTCGGAGTCGAACCAGTCGGGAGAGAACCGGATCTCAGTCCCGTTTGGATTCCCAAACGCGGCTGAAAGTTACTTCAAGACCATCTCAATCGAGTCGGCTTCAAACCACTCGGCTGAGATCGCATCTTCTCCAACGTCACCAGATCAAGATGATGGGGCTTACCCACTGATCCTGATGAAGCTCCCCGACGATTTGGCGGCCGTCTCCATCACGACAGCGTCTCCTTCCCGTAGGCCTAGGCGGAAGTCGGCTTCAACACCGATTTCGCCTAGCTTCAGGGAAGTCGGCGTCATCCTCCAACCACTCGGCACGGTTTCGACGGATCAGCTGGATGGCTACAACAGCTCTCCCACCGTCGACTCGCGTCCCACCGACATCATGGAGTATGACGAATTTAGCTCTCGCTACAACGACCTGGATCTCGACGACTTCGACGGAAGCCTAGATGACAACTACACCCCTCTCTACTTCGGCGTCTTCATGGCCGGTAACGAGACGGAAGAGCAACGCCAAGCCCGGGAAACCGAAGCACGTCGCGAGACTGAGCGTCGCCGACTGGAGGAGGAGCATCAAGCACAAGAACAAGAACGGCTACGGCGTGAGCAGCAGGAGCGTGAACGGACCGCGAAGGAGGCTGAGGATCGACGGCAGCGAGCTTTGGAAGCAGGGCGCCGAGCGCGTGATCTCATTGGCCAACAAGATGTTGAAGGGACACCTGTTTTCCGCACCCCTCAACAGAATGCGGTTGCCGCGATCACCCTCCTCGACACCCTCCTCAGGGAGAACGAGCTCAATCAATCTGACCACGTCGTCAACATCTTGAACCAGACGAAGACCATGATTGCGGCTTCGGTCCCAGTTAACTCCGAAAGCGTCCACACGCCGACTGGCAGCCGAGTCCCCCACTTCCGATCTCATGACTACCGTCATCCAAGCCTCAGCATTACCGGTGCAGGATCCAATCGCAGGAGCAGGGGCCACGATGAGCGGTCTGTTCACTCACCTCCCGATCATCATAGGGAGCGCCGAGTGGAACGGCCTCGCTCACCACCTCGTCGCCGCCCCGTCGATCTTCGCGACACAATCATACAGCGCCGAGCAGCTCGAGGTTATCATCATTCGCCGGACCGCCACGACGACGACCTTGACGGAGTAGCAGCCTTCACCGACGACCTGCGTCGAGTGGATTGGCCAGCCGGCTTCAAGCCGACTGGAATAGAGAAGTACGACGGTACCACTAACCCAGAATCGTGGCTTACCGTCTACGGTCTCGCAATCCGCGCAGCAGGAGGAGATAGCAAGGCCATGGCGAACTATTTACCAGTGGCTTTAGCGGATTCCGCCCGATCTTGGCTCCATGGATTGCCCCGTGGTACAATTGGATCTTGGGCTGAATTACGCGACCACTTCATCGCCAACTTCCAAGGCACCTTCGAGCGTCCCGGCACACAATACGACCTCTACAACGTTATTCAGAAGTCCGGAGAATCCCTTCGAGATTACATCCGGTGATTTTCTGAACAACGTAACAAGATCTCCGACATCACCGACGACGTTATCATCGCCGCATTCACCAAGGGGATTCGCCACGAAGAATTGGTCGGCAAGTTCGGGCGTAAGCCTCCCAGGACAGTCAAGCTCATGTTTGAAAAAGCCAACGAGTACGCCAAAGCTGAAGACGCCGTCACCGCATCAAAGCAGTCGGGTCCCAGTTGGAAGCCAAAAAAGGATACGCCGGCTTCGGGAGGAGGTGGAAGTAACAATCATAAGGACCGCAAGCGTAAGCCTGCGGAACTTGTTGCAACCGCCAGTCACTCTTCTCGACAGCGTTCGCGCGTCAACACGTTCGACAAGATCATGAACTCCCAATGCCCGCACCATCCTAACTCCAACCATGTGGCCAAAGATTGTTTCGTCTACAAGCAATTCGCGGATCAATACACCAAGACTACATGGAAGAACTCCGACGAAGAACAAAGCACGTCGAGGAAGAAGGACGACGGCGACGCCCCGGCAGGATTTCAAGACCACCGCAAGGAGCTCAACCATATCTTCGGCGGCCCCCTGGCTTATGAGTCTAAAAGGAAGCAAAAGTTGACCGAACGGGAGATCAACGCTGTTCAGCCCGACACGCCCCAATATCTTCGATGGTCAGAGATCGCAATCAAGTTTGACCGCTCGGATCATCCTGACCGAGTGGTCCACCCGGGGCGGTACCCCCTGGTACTAGACCCAGTGGTCCGTAATGTCAAGCTTCGCAGAACCCTCATCGACGGTGGCAGTGCACTCAATATCCTCTTCGCCAAGACCTTGGATGATATGCAGATCCCTCGCTCCGAGCTAAAACCAAGCAATGCGCCTTTTCACGGAGTAATTCCAGGATTGTCCGCAACTCCACTCGGCCAGATCACCCTCCCGGTCACTTTTGGCACTCGGGAAAACTTTCGCACAGAGAATATCAGCTTTGAAGTCGCCGATTTCGAGACAGCATACCATGCCATACTCGGGCGCCCGGCGTTAGCCAAGTTCATGGCCGTCCCGCACTACACTTACATGATGATGAAGATGCCTGGTCCCCGAGGAGTCCTATCCCTACGGAGCGACATCAAGCAAGCCGTCACATGTGACAAGGAGAGTTGCGACATGGCCCAAACCCGCGAGATGGCGTCTGCCCGAGAGGATATCCGACTGGCTGCAGCCACGGCGAGCGAAGGAGAAGTACCCGCTACCAAGACTTCAAAAAGCGGAGAAAGCGAAGCCAAGACTAAGAAGATTCCCCTAGATCCCTCTGATCCTACTAAAACTGCTGTAATAGGCGCCGAGTTAGATTGTAAATAGGAAAACGCGCTCATCACCTTTCTTCAGAACAATAAAGATATCTTTGCGTGGAAACCATCTGATATGCCCGGTATTCCTAGAGAGGTGATTGAGCACTCCTTACATGTCAAAGAAGATGCCAAACCTATCAAACAACGACTCCGCCGATTTGCACAAGACAGGAAAGACGCGATCAAGGAGGAATTAACCAAGCTGTTAGCAGCAGGCTTCATCAAAGAAGTCCTTCATCCCGACTGGCTGGCAAACCCGGTTCTAGTTCGGAAGAAAACAGGGCAATGGCGCATGTGTGTTGATTATACTGACCTCAACAAATCCTGCCCTAAAGATCCTTTTGGGTTGCCTCGCATTGACCAGGTAGTCGACTCGACCGCCGGCTGTGATCTTCTCAGTTTTTTGGATTGCTACTCGGGGTATCATCAGATCCGACTGAAGGAATCCGACTGCTTGAAGACTTCATTCATCACGCCCTTTGGAGCATATTGCTATGTCACCATGCCGTTCGGACTAAAAAATGCAGGAGCAACTTATCAACGTATGATCCAGAGGTGCTTCTCAACACAGATCGGCCGCAACGTTGAAGCGTATGTGGATGATGTAGTTGTCAAGACCAAGCAAAAGGATGATTTGATCTCGGATCTAGAAGAAACTTTCGCGAGCATCCGCGCTTTCAGGATGAAATTAAACCCTGAAAAGTGCACCTTCGGAGTACCGTCAGGGAAGCTGCTTGGTTTTATGGTGTCTCATAGGGGCATCCAAGCCAACCCGGAGAAAGTTACTGCTATCCTCAACATGAAACCGCCAAGTACCCAGAAAGATGTTCAGAAGTTGACTGGGTGTATGGCGGCGCTCAGCCGATTTGTTTCAAGACTTGGCGAGCGGGGGATGCCCTTCTTTAAGCTACTGAAGAAAACAGATGATTTCCAGTGGGGACCCGAAGCACAGAAGGCCTTCGAAGATTTCAAGAAACTCCTCACCGAGCCACCGGTCTTAGCCTCACCACACCCGCAGGAGCCGTTGTTGCTGTATGTAGCAGCCACCTCCCAGGTTGTGAGCACAGTCTTGGTCGTTGAGCGCGAGGAAGAAGGCCATGTCCAGAAAGTCCAGCGACCGATTTATTTTGTCAGCGAGGTCCTAGCCGACTCCAAAACGAGGTACCCTCAGGTTCAGAAGCTGTTATATGGTATTCTAATTACTACCAGGAAGCTATCTCACTACTTTCAAGGTCACTCGGTAACGGTGGTCACATCATTTCCACTCGGTGATATACTGCACAACCGCGAAGCAAACGGACGGATTGCTAAGTGGGCTTTGGAGTTGATGTCTTTGGACATATCATTCAAGCCCCGAATTTCAATCAAGTCCCAAGCGTTAGCTGATTTTGTCGCCGAATGGACCGAGTGCCAGGAGGATACCCCCGCG